GTTGCCTGCAATTCGCTACCTGTGCAGTCGTTGGTTGTGATTTCCAATAGAGCACCCTCATCGCCGAGCAACTTGAAGGCTCGAAACCGGACGCTGTACACACGCCCTAGGCCCTATGTGCCATCCGCGCATTCGCACATTCCAAGCAAGACACCGCCAGACCGCCCAGAGCTCAAAACCCGAAACCCTGAGCGGAAAGCTCTCTCTTCCTGCCGTTCACCTAGTACAAAAGCCAACCGCAAGCAATCAACGGAGAACGGCCGGAGAGCCTAATGAAGTCGCTAGCAGGCCACGACAAAGCCTGCTGACCTGCTGATGGGATCATAGTGTCAAGCCCTGTCTGTATATACCTGGGACACCTTGCGGCCGAAGCAAGCACAGACCTAGGGACGTTTCCGCCGAGGTCTGTGTGCCCTTAAAGCTGAAGCATGATCAGACCCGAGGTTCAGCCACCAGGGCCTGAATGGCGTGGGAGAGGTTCTTCAGTGGCTCCTTGCGGGCATTCGTGCTCCTTGGATAGCGAAGACGCTTTTGGAGTTCGGACCGCCGCGCACTAGAGTAGTGGATCAATTGCCAGAACCGTCATTCCGAGGATTTGATCTAGGTTGGCTTGTCTTTCAAAAGTAGAATCTCATGTGGCCCACTTGATGGTGCAGAGTGTAAGAATTCGGGGTACAGCTCGAATTCACGTTTGTTGTAGGGCGTGTTTGGGAAGTAGGCCCGTGAAGCACTTGGCATCTCTGCTGGGTCCCAGGCACTACATTCCCAAAACTCAGGCCAGAGAATCATACAACATCATACAACCTCAACCTAGACTCTCGCACCACAGATGCCGCAACCCAAAACCCACCTAGGTACTTCAGCACCTTTACACACACCAATACCCTATGAAAGCCATACCATTACGTGCGCACAGGACATGCCGGGACACCCTGCGCCCATGCAAGGTGCACAACGGCACTTATGGAGATGTTTTTTTGTTTGCCATTGCTCGCAAATCACGGATTCGTGGGCTTCAGGGTTTCAGGGAAACGGGGATTAGGGTTGGGAGTTGAGGGTTCGGCAAGGCAGGCGCTAAGAGGTATGATTGAAGACTGCAGACTTTCGTGGATGGCTCGAGTTTTGTTCATTGTGCCTCGTCGTCGTAAAGCCTTGGGCCCTGAACTGACTGACTACCGAAACTCGCAATCCACAGCCTGCAATAATTGTCGGCGCCGTCGCTGGTTGAGACTGGGGTCGCAAGAGTGCGACTTCAACGACAGTGACGACGATGAGGACGACGACGTTGACGACGACGAGGGCGAGGAGGAAGACGACCACTAGGCCTTTTGAGACATCTCCGACTCTACGACCTTTATGGTAATTACGGCTACAAAAACGATGAAGACGATGTTTGCCACTTCTACTGCTGCGACAGAATTGGTCATCTTGCGCTGGTGTGTTTGCAATACCCTGCGTAGATACCAGCACTGGGCCTTGCGACATCGTCTATAAGATAACAAGCACCACCTTAATTCGTCTGAGCCCGAAGCCTAGCCCACAAACTCAACTCCAGAGTGGGAAACTCGAATGCAGGCTTCCTCCCGGCGGACCTGAGGAGGCAACTCACTGAAGAGGCCGGCAAATAGGGTATGTTGGGTCGGGAAAGGTGGATTCGATTTTATCTCCTGATAGTTCTCAATCTCTGGGACTTCCATCTTCGTGTTGCTTGTTGTTCTACTGTTGCCTAACGTTCTGTGTATGCATGCCGTCGCTGCTGGCACGACCGTTGAACATAGACGGTTTCACGGGATGTCCGAGCTCATCGATGTGAAGTGTCTGTCAAGAATGAAGCAAGCACCGTATCCATAGCCCTTCTACCATGCCATGCCACCATGCTCTTTAGGGGAAGGGGTATGTGAAGGCCCGCTTCACTCTGCAGTCTTTCCAAAGTTCGGCCAGGGTGGCGCTGCCGCGACAGAAGCCATTGAAGAATTCGTCCACCATGGAGGTCGCTGCTGGGGTCTGTGATTCTTTGATGTTTGGCACAAGGATACGTGCACAGCCGCCCGAGAATGCTGGCAGCTCGCGGGAGTCTGGAGGCCTTATGCCGGAGCACGGGAGCCTCCTAAATTTCCTAAATTCAATACCAGAAATCTACAGAAGCCTTCGATCCGATCCCGGAGCCAAAGACAATCTCTCTCAGAAGCAGGATGGAGAAGGTCAACGCCCACCGCTCTTCCGCGCAATGGCCTCGCTTCTGCATTTGTCTGAATTTTTCGCTCCAGCTTCAAGTCTTCAGTTTGTGTGGGATCTTTGTTCCCTGCAGATCCCGGCCTCAAGGACCCCGACGGCCCGGCCCAGTCCACAGCACACCTGAAGTTGAGTGGTATCGCTATGCGTGTTATGTCATGCTGCCCCAAGCAGTGCACCTCGACAACCTTTCTGACTAGCGAAACAATTCTGTCCGAAGACAATCCTTGTAAACGCTCGTTACTGGTATTGACCTGATGCGCTCAGTGAGCGCCGGCGAAGAGCCCAATGGAACATCCACTGAGTATGTGAATCGAAGCCAACACGCAAAGATAAACATGACAGTTTAATCCATGAGGAGTGTAACTCGAAACTCCGAGCTTCGAGGGCTTGCAGAGTTCCGCATTCTGTTCATGTACATGTTGCCTATAGAACATGAAAGAGCCAATCTTGTGCACGCCGTACAAACATCTTCAATTGAGTGACTGAGGTACAGAAGATGCTGCGACTTGGCTGCCATCACTGAACCCGGTTTAAGTTCGGGTCGTTCAGGTACGGTTCTGCCTGAGTGCTGGGCCAACGGCCTGCTACGCTAGAAGCTTCTAGTGCAAGTAGAAGTCATAATTTCAGCGCGGATGTTCGACGAAATGCGAGAGATAGAGAAATCAGGTTCACAAGTACATCATGGCGAAGAAGCAGCAGCTGCAGCTGGATTTGATCACCACAGCCATGATCTATTTGGACAAACTGTCCATAGGACCTGAAGCTATGTGAGGCAACGCCTCCATCAGGTCGACCTGTTGGGATCTGGCCATGTTCTCTGCCCTATGTTTCTTGCAACCAGCATAATCTAGGTGTCTTCGTCCCGTATTCAGTCGGTCCTAACAAGGCTGATGAGATGACTCCATGATCGACCGAATCCACGCAACCACTGACATTGGTTATGCCGCCGGAGTTCCTACGACCTAGACTGAAAGCTCGGCTGTTGTGGCCGTTGCCTTGGTGCTTCCCACACTACTACTAGTACTACTAGACAGTGCTACTAGGACTGCTAGGACGACTAGCACTGCTTGCACTACTAGTAGTTCTAGTACTGCTAGTACTACTAGTACTACTAGTACTGCTATCACTTCTAGTGCTACTAGGACTACTTGTGCTGCTGCTGCTACTACTACCACCACGACAACAACTACAACTACAACTACAACAACAACAACCACCACCACCACCACGACTACTACTAGTACTACTACTACTACTACTACTACTACTACTACTACTACTACTACTACTACTACTACTACTAAGACTACTACTACTACTACTACTACTACTACTACTACTACTACTACTGCCGCTGCTGCTAATGCTGCTACTACAACCACAACGACACGACGACGACTTCTCCTCTTCCTGCCCCGCTGCTGCTGATGCCGCCACGACGACCAAGAGGATCATGTGTTGCCGCTACGACGACCAGGAGGGTTATGTGTACCTGGTACCAGCGACGAGGAAGGGAACTGCGCCCTTGCTAGTACTCATGCTACCGCTATCATTCCTGATCAAGTACTGCTACATTTCTTACTGCCAATAGTGCTGCTAATGCTCCTCCTACCACCGCTACCATGACCAGGCTCGAGGTGGGCCAGGCCTTGGACAGCGGCGACGACGACGACTAATGCACATGCTCTCACTTCGAGGTTAGCTAACGGATGAGACGGTTTGGACGGAAACAGAAGCAGATGTGTTAGTTACGACGCATTACGGCATACGGAGCATTGCCAGGTATATAGTGGAAGTCTCTTACAGAAATACCAGGCGGCGAAGTCAAACGGACTTATGGTACAGGCACTCGTAGTGGGGCGGAGTTAGTGGGGCGGATGCATGAATGGAAGTAGAACTCGCCAGACAGTCCCAGCGTTTCTGTCACTCAGTCGAATTGGGCACATTCCAGACTGCTGCACGCTGACAACCCCAGCAGTTGAGATTGTACAGGTGCCTAGAAGGGCTTGGGTGCCCTTTGCCAGGACGCTGATGGAAGTGCAAGAAGGTTTCTGACCGAAGATTGAGGCTGTAAAGCATGTTTCCGTGATCTGTATGTCTACGGAGATCTCCCACATACTCCACGGCTGAGGTTGAGTCCTGAATCCTAAGCTTGCCTTCCAGACAGGCCTGGCAGCGGCCAAGACCGCTTCACGTTGTCCAGATGCATGGAATGCGATTCCCAGTTACTGCCATTTGAGATTCCATGCCCTTAGGCCCTTGACAGGACAGCACGGCCTGAAGATTCGAGTTTCTCGGGTCGCCAAGAGCCGATACCAAACTAAGTAGAAGATTAGTGCCGAAGAGCTGGAGCCTCTGGCATGCGGGATGCCCATGAAGAGACCAAAGACCAGAGGCATGCGTCTGCCTTCCGTCATGCTGTCCGCTTGTGTAGTGTGCGAGAGCAAGCTCAGGCAGGTAAACTGAGGACTCAGGTTGCTCGCTACATCTTAGGTGATACAACTGTTCGTCCTGGTTGCTGATTCAGTTAATTGCCCTGCTTCCTCCTTACGAAAGGCCAACCCATATAGGGGTCGGGAATGGGAAAGTTTGACGTTTGATGGAGGACATTGCCGAAAAGCTGCACGCCTCATACACCGCAATGTCTGCAAGACAGGACGGTTTGACTCGGAACAGCCGGAACCTTCCTCTGCAGACCCCAATGCCAGAAGGCTGGCATTAACCCTTGCCCCTTGCAGTCCGCTGGCCCATCCCACCATGTCCAGGTACTTCTTGGTGCAATGCTGAAGCTAGCCGGTGGCGTCCGCAGCCTCAGTCAGGACGTCGGGCACTTAGCCACTGAGGCCATGCAGCCTGAGCGTTCAAATTTAGTTGTCAACAGTTGTTGCTGCAGCCGCTTGGCCGAGGTTTTCGCTCAAAGGCTTCAGCAGGAAATGATCGACCGGTTCGGTTTGTTTTCTTGGGACATGCTGTACCAGGAGCAGTAGCGACAAACGCAGATCGTTTATACCAGGTATGTCGTTATGTAGCCATACTACACACTCCTTCCGGGGGCAACTCTAGTTTCGGTTAAACTAACCCCACTTTCAAGCTTCTCGGTCAATGCTTGATGGGCCAGGTTTACGGTCTCGCGTCCTGCCCCGACATCTTGAAGACACTGGTTCAGGGAGATGGAAAATCCCAAAATTCGATCCATGCCCTCGAAACTCAATCCCGAAGTAGCCTGAGCCTGTTTCGGGGACAGGGCCGACATTCCGAACGAAGAACCCTTAAAGCCTCCGAAGCTGAGGAGCCCAGACGCCATCTCCGGAATCCTGACATGAAACCCTCAGTCCCAGTTGAATCATCCCTGTAAAAGAATCACCTGCGTCTCAAAGCCTTACATGTGCGCCAGTTCGAAGGGGATGGTGGGGTGTTTCAAACCACTGAGGCCTAAATCTGTCACCCTCGCCTCAGAAATGCTCTCCGCATCTAACGGTATCTAACAACCCCCCAAAGCGTTCGAAAGGTCGGCGGATTCTTCGCTTCGGTGGCACCGAGCCCTTTGGAGGTAGAGCAGGTGCACCACTTATAGAGAGTCCGAATATGAGCCACGAGAATTGGACTTGGTGTTCAGAGCTCAGAGGTTCTACAAGGTCTTATGCAGACTGTGCGGTCTTGTGGCTCGTTGGAACAAGTTCGACAGTTTGAGATGATTTGCAATGCTGTGCTTCGGTTGAGTTTGCAGGGTATGTTTGGAGTCTTCTGACAAGGCACGGTGCTTTGGGTTGACTTGTTCTTGCAATAGATAGCGATCGACTTGCATCAGTCAGTCCAGACCTCGCTCGAACCTGCCAACCCTCCAACCGTCCAACCCCTATCCTGTTTCAAGAAATGCGGTTCAGAGTGAAGTGTCTTTAGACTGTATTCTCTAAGACTCTTAAGCCTCAAATCCTTGCCGTGTTTGGCAGGACTTGTTTATAGCTATGCCGATGGCCCTGCCATCAGCACTTGAGGCTTGGCCGCCAGAAGCTTTGGGGCTTACAGTTTCCAGGCTCGAGGCCCAAACCTACGGAACGGAGCTTCTGGGGAGACGGGGAGCTTGTTCAATTTGTCCAGCATTGCGATCACAGCTCAGGTGAAGTTTATGTACGTGACGGGGGCGATCGTTTGCGCCGCCGTCCTGCTGCTGATCGCAGCAGCCTGAGACCTGGGCCTAAGATGTCGAGAAGGTTCCCGAATCCTGCATCCCGCAATCCACCGCTTTGAATGACAAGCCTCAGCACCTACCATACTCACGGATGCATTACACTGCAAACCCTCCAGCGGAGCAGACCTCTGGCTTCGCAACCTCGGAGAGTTTGGAAACTCTGTCACAAACACTCCATAGGTTTAGGTGTGGTTTACTGTAGGTTTTTGCCTGTAATGAGGTATCTGCAGCCAGAGAATGGGCAAGCATTCTCCGACGAAGGTTGAACTCGCCGTGCTGTCGTTTTGCCGAGAGGCAAGTTACACAAATCTCGAAACGATACGTAAAAACGCCTCCAACATCATTCCCGACAGCCCTTCATTCCTCGCTCCCTCCCATCCTCTCTCCCATTCTCCCTTCGGTAGGGAACGGGCTTGGGCTTGGAACAAGCTCTAAAGACCACAAGACCTTGCTGGCGCAAGTCGCTCAAACGGGCAACAGAGCAAACCGCTCGAAAGGAACCAAATAATTCAATTAGAACCTGAAGCCGACCTTCGCAGGAACTCAGACAGGTCGAGAAAGAGCAGTGGATTTGAGATAGAGGTGCAAACCGTATGGAAGAGGTTCGAGAACTCTGAGAAAGCACAGCAACCCGATCGGATGAGGTTCGAGACTTTTGAGAAAGAGGGTTAGGCCAATCGAAGGGGTCTGAAGGTTTGACAAGGTCAGAACATTTGGGAAGAGGAATCTCCTTTATTCTCTTCATGACCAGCTCAACCTGCTGAGATGGCTCCCAAGCCCATGAAGACCGTCCGGGCGCTCCAGACGTGTGAAACACCCTTTCGAATCAGCGCTCGGGCCAACCAAATCGCATTGACAAAATTAGGTTTGGGGTTTAGGGTTTCCTTAGCCTGTCGAAGAGCACTCAGAACAGCTAGAGCTATTAGGCCACCATAGACCCAATCGCAAATCCCTCGAAGGTCCATTTGACCCGAGCCGTGCTTGGGATCTGTAAGTGGCGACGCAGCGCTGAAGCTGGGGAAGGCAAGCTTGAGTACAGGGTTGGAGGTTAGGATTCCGGTTCGCATCGTTCTTGCGCAGCCCTGCCAAACGCCGGCATCCGACACGAAACCGTGTAGTGCCAGGATTCGTGCATGAGCTTGTTCATCAAAGACTGCAGGATATGCAACCAAGTGGCTGTCAGTATGCCGGTTGTTGTCATGATGATGACAGATATGACAGTGGCGGTAAAGATGCCGTTGAGGCTGGTGCCGGCACTGGTGCGCCTTTTCGTGATGCTACTGGTGACGTCGATGATGCGCAGGATGTTGGTGATGTTGGTGGTCATGATCAGGGTTTTGCTTGTCAGTTGGAGTTGATGATGTTGTCGTAGTGAGGTTGCGACGGTAGTGTTTCTTGTGGTGATGGTGACTAAATGGCTTTAGCACAAGATGTGCTCACGACTTGGTGCAGATGCTTGTAACCATGATTCTGATGATGTTGTGGATGTTGTTGTGTTTGTTGATGACGGTGGTGCGGCTGATGACGATCATGCTGATCGCGATAATGACGGTGATGATGCTGATTATGGACGTCGTGCGAAGACGTCGATGATGACGATGATGACGATGATGGTGAACTTATGTTTGCTGTTGATTCGGATGTTGTTGGTGCTGTTCTTGTGGTTGTTGAGGCTGTTGTTGCTTTTTTTATTGTGTGTGTTTTTGTTTGTGCTGCTCGTTGTTGTTCTTTGTCTTTGTTATTGGTATTGTCGTTGTTGTCATCGTCGGTGTTGGTGTTGGTGTTGGTGTTGGTGTTGCTGCTGCTGCTGCTGCTGTTGTTGTTGTTGTTGTTGTTGCTGTTGCTGTTGTTGTTGTTGTTGTTGTTGTTGTTGCGCTACGGTTCACAGAAGGCATCTTAGGATTGCTAACTCTGCTTCGGGCCCAACTTTAAAGGTTTGCAACAGGCTCCTTTGCGAAGCGTAAAGGACGTCCTTCTGCCTGAGCAATTTGAGTGTGCCTCGAAGCTTCGTGCCTTTGTGGACTGCCGGGTCCCGATTCCCGAGCCTCCCGCGACAGCAAGTTCTGGAGGTAAGCGGTATAGGGTTTCCACCTTTCCGCGCGGTGGAGGGAGCAGTATTTGGTTTCACACCAGGTGTTGCGAAACTAGCGGATGGCGCCGACCGTGCCTCAGTGTTTTTCTCCCGCCTTTGCTTTTACAAAAGGACCTGCTGCACCACGCCAGTCAAGGAGCAGTTCCAGTCGTATGTTGGCCGTTTTCTGAACTTGGGTACCTTGAAGGAAGCTTTCGAGACGAGGCCTCGTTCCTTGCCTTTCTTCGGCTTTTCAACTTCTGGACAAGACACCCAGGGACAGCTGAAGGTCTTTTTTGCGCAGCTTTGCTGGCACTTTGGTTTGGCGTTTCTACGAGCCCTCTCTTACAAAGAGGACCCGGATCGCCTGTGCTTTTCGCGCAGTCTGTTTCGGAAACTACACCTCCTTCCAAAGGCAGGGTAGACTGCCACCGGCTGCGACAAAGCCAGTGCGATCGATTTCCTCCTTCACTGTTGACAGCCTTTTGCTCAGCGCCGTTGTGAAGCTGCCAACGCTTGGGAACAAGTCAAACACGGGAGAGGATGGGTGCCACTTTTGAAGCTTGCAACTCGTCAGCATCCTCCCAATGCTGACCCCGATGTGAGCTCCAGGGACTTCTCTTGTTATGGGTTGCCCTCGAGGGCCTGGGACGGCTATCCTCCCTTGAGGGGGTAGCCTTGCCACAGGCCGGGCCAGACTTGTCTTCAGGACAATGCGCAGATTGACATCGTGGACTCAGGTTCAGAAGAGCAGGCCAACGACTTCAGTCCCCATACGGTGCCTACCTTGGTACGGCTCCACGTCACATCTGGGCACAGTCGCTAAGCGGACGCGCTTGCTGTGCTATGGGTGTCGGGCTACGGCTACGGCCCTCCCAGTTGTGTTCGTTGCTGTCCTGTTTTCCGACGGGGTCGGGCAGTGCTAGGAGTGACGGCTCGCGTGCCTTGACGACGAACCATCCTTACGGCCCATCGCTGGTATTCCGGAGTTATATACCTAGTGTGGGACGCCGCCATTCGACGGGAACTCTGGGAGACGGCTCTTCTAAGTACGACCCGCTGGCTACCAGTTCGTGACTATCCTGGCTGCCTAGCTGGCATTTGAGGAGTCGCGGGCACCGCCCCGTGCCGAAACAAGGGCACCGCCTTTGGGAACTGCTGATAGCAAAGTCAAGTGACCTGCTTGCTTGAAGCAAGTGCTGAAGAGCTACCGCTGCACTGTACAGATTGCAGTGACTCTCTTTCACTTAGGATCTACTTCGTTAACTTTTCTAGCCAAGGTTCCATTTTTTCCTTTTTTGCAGGATCGTATAGCGGTTGAGCGGCCTTCTCTGAAGGGTTATTTGCTCGGCTACCGTGTTTCTATTTTAGGTCGGTTTCTGTGTGTTGGTTTCAGGCTGATGGCAAGCCTGAGGCCTCGCAGCATGGTTACGGTTACGGTCCGTTGCTTCAGAAACGGATGCAGGAGGTACCTGCGATGATCCCAGGGCAGTCCCCTCGCCCCGCCGCCACCACCTCTATAAGGAACTTTAAGGCCGCTTTACCTCTATTGGAATGTCAGCAGGTCAGCTGCCAAAGGGCGGCGCTGGCTTACGGCACGTCTCGAAGTCTCTGACTGAAGTCTCTGATGCGCCCGCTATGAGCAGAGCCCGCTCGCGCTGTTGTTGTTGTTGTCATATTATTCTTATTCTTCTTCTCATTCTCAGTCTCACTCTCACTCTCACTCTCACTCTCACTCTCACTCTGCCTCTCACTCTCACTCTCACTCTCACTCTTACTCTTGCTCTTGTTCTTGTTCTTGTTCTTGTTCTTGTTCTTGGTGGTGTTGGTGGCGGTGTTGGTGGCGGTGTTGGTGGTGTTGGTGGTGTTGCTGTCGCTGTTGCAGTTGCTTTTGCTGTTGCTGCGGTTGCTGCTGTAGCAGATGCTGTCGTTGATGTTGTTGCTGTCGTTGTTGCGGTTGTCGTTATGGTCAGTACTTGCCACTGTTACTATAACCGCCATGTGACTACTACGTATTGTTCTTTCTGCTGCTTCGGATTATGGTTGTTGTCATGATTTGTGCATAGTAGTACGGCGGCATCATTAAAATGAGCATGGTCAATGGTGGTGCTTGGCGGTGGAGCTGGAGGTGGAGGAAATTGTGGTCGTGGTGGTGGTGGTCCGGCTGCCGCTGCTGGTGATGGTGGTGTCGGTGCTGGTGCTGGTGCTGCATGGTGCTGCGGGTGGGCGGCGGTGGGGTGGAGATGGGCGTCATCAAAGCGTGCTGAACAGGCCATGTTGGCCATTAAGAGCGCTTCGCGGAGGCGGCAGAACAAAAATGGGCAGGCCTCAACCAAAAAATTGCGCATGCAAAATGTAAATACTACGGGTATCTGCGATCACGCAGAACCTCATACACGCATGCCAAGACGGGAGTGGCCCATAGCCTAGGCAAGCCGTGTTTTTGTAGATTTTTTTAGGACTCCTAGGCCTAATATCAGGCAGTGCGCGACAGTGCCAAACAACATGCCCGAGAGTACCTACAGGGAACTACCGAAGTCGTAACGCATGTCAGCAAATCGGAGCATACCTTCGGGGAAGCGAAAACGCTAGGTCGTAACATTCCGCGGTGTAGTTGGTGATACGGGTTCCTTGCCAAAGTCCCTTTAGTACCAAGCTTCAGTACTTCCATGCCTCGTTTGGCGTCCTGGCTGGATTGTGCCTGGTAGTAGTACAACTTTAGTACCGGAAATGCCTCGTTTGGCGTCCGGGCTGGATTGTGCTTGGTTGTAGTACAACTTTATAGTACTGGAAATGCCCGTTTGGCATCCTGGCTGGATTGTGCTTGGTTGCAGTACAACTTTAGCACTGGAAGTGCCTCTTGTGGCTTCCAAGCCCACGGTTCGGTAGAAAGTTTCAGACGCGGTGTGTGGAAACCATGTTTTGTGTCAGGCGCGGTTGCTTGGGGGAAACAGCAAATGTTATGACTTCTTATCAGCGCTGAACATGCGGAAGCGACGTTGCAGACTACTCAAATATCCCGCGGTGACATGGTGGAAAGCGATTTTGTTATGACTTCCGAGAATGAGTCGTAACGCGCGGTTAGTTGCGGGAAGGCTCGCCCACCGTTTTTGTGATGACTTCGGTGTTTACCTGTATATAATGCTCTTTGGTACAAGTGTAATCCTCGTCATCGTCCCATAGCCTTTCATGACAACACAAACCGCAGGGGAAAACAAGGCTCCTGATAGGCTTGGAGAAGCCGCCTTTTAAGCACATTGACACCTCTTGGCATCATGCTTGGCGTTGTGGCAAAGAAGCGCATCAGGCCTGTCACGCTTGCCTTTGCCCAACCAACCACAAGAAATGGCAATGACGCCAACTCTCCCGCGAGATTGGTGAAACGACTCAAGATCGTTTTGCCATCCATCCCTTCTGGTCAACGACAACGTAGCCGTGCGCAAAAGGTGAGTCCATTTCCAAGCACCCCGCGTTGACCCAATCAGACCTTGACAACATACCCGACAGAGCATCGGCTCGGCCGTTCCAACGTAAGGCGAGGGAACATTGCAGGCAGGCAGGCGCCAGGAAACTGAAAGGCTTGCATCACGTGCACGAACATGCAAGTCAAAGTTTCCAAGATGATGACGATGTGCAGTGTTTCTGATGAGGTTGATGTCGCCGGTGCTGAGGTTCACGATGATGACGATGGTTGTGATGCTGATCATGTTCATGATGCTCGTGATGATGATGATGATGATGGCGATACAGATGGTCCGCATGGTGGGTACGAAAATAGTTCCGGAAACCCTGCCGGCCTGTCACAGAACCTGTCGCTGAGCAGCTGAACTCAGAAGCAGACGAAGGCTGCCTGGGAGGGTCGGGAGACGGAGTTTGAGGTGTAGTGTAGGGCTTACGACTATTCACTCTGGATCCACATGCCATAGACCTTGTGCTCTGACCCTGAGCTTCCAGTCCTTTAGTGTCAGAAACTTCGAACTGGAAGTAAGCTTCAAAATCAATGCTCAGACGCCCATTTCGAATACTCGAACAATTCAAGTTACATTCATGGCTTCCTGTTTGTTCGGACTGACAAGTCTCATTCATTGTGTTTGTTTTGGCAAGCCTCTATACACAGAAGGGATCGCTTGAACCCCGCAACCCAAAACCCAAAGCCTAAGCCGTACAGGCAACCCGTACATCCTGAATCCGGCGGGCCCTAAATCCGAGGCGTCGAGGATGGCGGCGGCTTAGGGATAAGCATCTGATGGTGCAGTATGAAGGGTTCAAGACTTGGTGGAGCCAAGTATATGTCGTAAGATTTGAAATCTTGAAATCTCTCCGTGGAGGCGAGAGCCAACGCTTGCCAACTGCAGAGGAGGCAAGTTTTCAAGCCATTTGGTAGAGGGGTTTAGGTTTCGGGATCGAGGTTCAGAAGTCTTGGGCGTCAGGATTGGCTTTTGTTTCTGGTTTAACTTTCTGTGCTTGATCTTAAGGACCTCCTGGACCCGAAACAAATGCTGAGCAGATCTTGTGTTGAAAGCAACTTGCCACTCTCAGTCGGAGCTAAAGCCAAAGCCCCCCAGCTGAATTCTGAAGCCGGGCAGCCGAACACTCCTGCAGAACTCCGAACCTCGCAACGTCAACCAGCCTGCAAGCCTGGAATGCCATAGATGCTGTACATCCTTCGCTGGACTCGGAGCAGGAGTTGGTGCGTCAACAAGCCGAGCACAAGTTAGCCGCTCGGCCGGGCCAACTCAACTTTTGGCAGATAGGTGCACGGGATGCTAAAAAGCAGACATTTTTGCAGTCGTCATCGTTATCCGCATGATCTCGACGATCGTGCTCACGGTCAATCACAAATGTCATCAGCACAATCATGACTGTGATGCTCACAGCTGATGTCGATGGTGATGATTATACTAATGACGATGATAAGGGGTGGTGATGCTGATGGCGATGGCCCTTTGTTGCGTCGTCGTCGGCGGTGGTGACGACGGCAGTGGTGGTATTGCCGGTGTAGCCTTGCTGCTGTCGAAGACGATAGATTTTATGATGATGGTGAGTGGCTGTGCTTCTAGAGTCTAATAGTCTAGATTAGACAAACAATTTCGGCTCAATGCTAGGATGATCATTCCCTGAAACTTGAAACGACACAGGGCAGTTCACAGCCAGCCCTCTGAACTCCAGACGTGACAACAAAGTTCCAGGCGATGCAAGCTATGCAGGAGAAATTGGCTGCACCTTCGGCCGATTGGGGAGACGTTCAGCGCAGTGGTCCAGGGGGTATTCGGTGTTCGCGAAAGGGCTGCAGGGTTTCTTCGGGCACAGAGACTGGTTGCCAGAGCTTTGCGCCCTCAGAAAGGTTTCCTCCGGGGTATTTCCACTCGCTTGAACAGCTTTCCAAGTTTTCTGTGACAGCCATGTGCAGTAATGGCCGCAGGCGCCCATACCAACTAGAACTGCAAGTTTTGCTTTCATGCAGATACGCATAAAACGACTGCCATTGAGCGAAGGGATCGCAAAGAAGACTGGGTGTGATCATAAAGAAGTCCATGCGACCCACCTAACTCATGCAGTCTCCATTGGGTCCCCAAAAGCACGGATTTGTAGCCCCATGTATCCGAATCCGTAATCAACACGTCTTATTTACCAAACCTTGCACGCTGAGCCCAAAAACCGCAAAACCTGAACCGCGCACACTAAGCTAGGATCCGTGACGCTGACTTTTGTGAACAAAACGTGAATCGTACAACCCTAAACGGCCTAAGCACCCACACACGCTATACATTGTATGCTCTATACTCTCTGAACTCCACAGCTCTTGTCACGCTAATCCTGACGACCACAAGCCCCCAGAATTGGCCCTGAATCCAGCACGACCCGAAACCCTATATCTTCGGCGCTTCTAGGCAGCCGAGCGCGAGCGCGATGCCGCGCGGCTGGAGCTCGAGAACTCGTGCGCCGATGTCGCCAGGTGCTTCTCAACAGTAGCAGTCTGGGCCTGGGTATTAGAGCTGTCTCCAAATTCGACATGATCTTCTAGGTTTCGTAGGAGAATCTGTGATGGACACAGTGGTTCGGAGTTTGGCGACTGTGGTATGTGATCCCCGTGAGAGCAGGGTTTGGACATGAACTGGTCATGCACACCCATCGTGCTAAAGTTGTTGATTCTCAAGTTTCAATCTTCCAAATCCCAAGCCTAAGCTCGACTTCGTATGTCTTGCAGCCGATGACGGGGATGTTGCTATTGGGGCTATAGGCTGCACTTGCTGTCCACCACGACACAGAGTTGCAAACTGGAAAGAAGTGCCCTTCAGTGTCTCACCTGTTCCAAGAGCCCGTGTGTAGATTCACGGCAAACAGTGAGCCTCAAGTCTCGGAGCCCTAAGTTCTCAAGGACCTAAACGCTATATTTGATGTCTTAAGCATAGAAACTCACTGTGCAAACAGGAAGATCGCGGAGCACGAGGGAGTCTTGGATTGCAAAGCCCCAGAAACCGACAACGGTCGGTGATTTTTGTTTGGTATACCTATGCACCTGTATGTATGTATGTATGTATGTATTTCCATGTAAGTATGTGTGCGTGGGGACATCAATCTATGTGTCTCTCCTTACATGTCTGCATATGTATCTGTATATGTAGCTGTATATATATATATATATGTCTATGCGTTTAATTGTTTCTTTATGTGCATAGAACTGTAAACATAAACATCAGTGCAGCTTGCACATCAGCATCCTGTGCATGAGTATATACATATACACACGTATGCCTCTGTGTGTGTTTGTACGTAAATGTGTGTGTGTACGTTTACACACATGATGTATGAGATCTCCGTCAACCCCCGCTTGCAGCTTCTGAGTTCATGCCTTCTCGGAAATGTGCAGACATGTAGGCATGTGTGACTGTGACGAGGCGGTATAAGCAGGAACTTGCAGATAACATGTGTCGCGCGGGTCCAGGTACACAGATTTGGTGGGGCGAGTGCTGATAAAAAAGGTAGGGAAGGGGTGACCAGTCTGACATCCTGAAGGATCAGGAGCGGCAGGTGCTACTGGACATGTGCACTTCAACTGAAGGCCCTTTCCCCCTGAACCCCGAAGCGGGATCCGTGAGTAGCCACACAGACGGAAGTTGAATGGGCAGAGTCTGAGCTCAGCTGTACTTGTCAAATCTGGCTTAGACGAATGGGGAGTGAGAAGCTGCATCAATCCTAGTGGCCCCGAGCCCTGGACTTAAAAAAATCCATGGGACGCATTTCTTTATTTCCCAGCTATCTGTATCTTATTTTAATCTTGCAAGCTTCTGTTCTGGAATGGGGCTCTGAAGACCGCAGCTCGAATTGAGGGGCAGGGAAGGGCTTAGGCCGAGCCTTATTTGTGTCGAATGGAGACACTAGGAGGATAACTTCGTGTTGCCGACCCGTTCTCGCGTATAGTGAAATGCAACTTCAGGCAGCACTCTGTTGTAGGGCACCCCCAGACGCCAAATGCCAAGGCCTACATCCCACAGTCGCTGAAGCCTTATAGGGCCTAGACTAGCCCTCCCAAAAGCTGCCCAGAAGTGCAAGCGTGGTCGATCTCTGCCGCTGTCACTATCAAACGTCTCCGAAAGGAGGCATGCGGACCTTCTGCATTCACGGCAAGCTGCTGCATGATAGGGACATTAGTGTTAGTTTCCTTCTCGTAAGTACCGGTGCAGGCAAGTAGACTAAGTAGAAGTGATTGAGAATCAATCACCATATAAACAAAGGTTCCATCTTGGGAGTTTGGAGTTTGTGGCGTGCTTGGGTGGCCGCTAAACATGGTCAGGGCCTTCGATCTTGAGCCGACACATGATCAAAGCTCCTGGGTGCAAGATATCTGTGAGCTTCCCTTGTTTGCACGGTGAAGACTCCAAGCCCCCCCTTGCAAAACAATAAGCGCATGATGCATACCTGGTGTTGCGCATGCACAGCAAATCCGATGAAAAGCCGAGACCCAGCGCAGGTAGCGGCACTTGAGACGTCCCTTGCAGCTGAGAGGAGCAAGAGACAGGCATGGCTTCAGTCAGGGAAGAGTTAGGAGCAGCCCGCCCCAACCTTCCCAAACCCCACCCGCAAGAATCTCAACTCATCCGCGTCTGTTTTTTGGGGCACATGCGGGGGGTTAAGCAAGGTGAGAGGTTCCCGTTAAGCGCGTTTAGATAGGCTGGTACTGATTCATTTTGTGTAGCCTTGTGTTTGAAAGTTTAGTTTAGGCTGAGTGCACGTCGCTCGACATATGCCTAGTTGCAGACCGAAATAAGCCAGTGGAGCGGGAGCTGTAAACGCAAATGCTCGCATGGCTTCGTTAAACCCTGGTAAATGGGGGCTCTTCTTTCGCATGGTGCAAAGTCCGGTTAAAACGTACCACAGGCAAAACTGAACTCAAGCGGTGAAAAGCACAGAGAGTGACGAGCAATCGCCAGCCGACAGGGCCGCCTGCTCCAGCCACTCGAAAAGCTGCCCTCGTAGCCACGCGAGGAAGATCAAAACGCAGATAGCAGTGCCGACCAGTCCGAGCAAAGGCGAGAGCAGCAGAACTCCACGTGAGAGTACCTCCAGCCGTTCCATATGCAATCGCTGGGCCCGAAGTGTGCAACATTGGACACGCCAACAAGGGGAGCACAGAGGCGCCCGGGGCAGTGGAATCATGCGAGAAACCCCCAACCTGCAAGTCCGAGACCAGACACATGAGTCGCCGATGGAAGAGGCTGGATATCAGGGGAGAAATCAAGCTCCTCTTCAACATAGGAAGTATCGGGACCCTGCAGCAGCGCGGCAGGGATCTCCCAGCACAGCAGGACGTCCTCGGCAAGGGCACGCAGCGGGCATTCCTCAAGGTCCTGAATCCAGACACAAAGAGTGTTCCTCAGCATGGAGAAATGCTCAACTGCACTTGCAACATCGCCGAAATCTGACAGTCCGACTCAAAGGTGGCGGCCCGCAACTGCTGGAGAAGCTCAAGGCTGACATCTAAACCCACTGCATGCTGGAACATTGGACAGATCAGTCCCAGGAATCCACCCCGCCTGCGCAGGCCCGTCCGGTATCTCAACCATAGTGCACTGAGCTACCGCAACACACCTCTCGGAATGCTCGAAGTGCCTGACAAGACGGATGTGCTGTGTAGAAACGGCGCCACACGCTTGGCGCGGAACTCCCCGAGCGTATCGCCTGGCCCGCGACCGATACTTGGGGGCTCGGCTACGTGAGCAGACAACGACTGAAAGTCCGGAAAAGCCAATCGGCACAGGACAAACGCATGACTGGCATCGCGGATCCGGCACCTGCCTAAATGGGGTTGAGCATTCCTCAAGCTCGGAGTGTCATTCTCACGGTTGAACACGCATCTGTCGCTCTTGGAACTGCCATCGTACCCCTTGCGCCCTGCAAAGGCGAATCTAGCAAGGGGGCGCTGACCGCCGTAGCAACAACATAAAGGAACAACAAGAACATCAACGACAGTAAAGTCAACAGCAGCACCAGCAGCGATTTCAACAGGAGCCGCAGATGCGTGCCATTACACAGCTCAGAAGGGTGTATGTTTATATGGCATCACCCGGCTGACTCGGTAAAGTTCGAGACTCCAGTAGCTTTCTGGATGTGTCAGGCCTGGATGGAAGCTTACGATGCACGCGAAGAGGCTCCAGTGTCTGAAACTTTTGTGGCGTACATGAGTACACGAGGTCAGAGGCGGCTCAAGGTTTGGCTTCGTGTTTCATGATTGGTGCGCTTCAGCTTCCGGTACGATGCAGGTTCGGGGTTCGTGAGACTGCAAGTCTGTTTAGGCCCTAATTATTCCTAATTCTACCGCCAATCTTACATTCAGGCCTGCCTTGCCCCGAGTCGAATAACCTGGAACGTCGAGCAATACACCAAGAAACAAACTCTTCATGCAAGAAGCATGTGGAGCAGGAGCTGCACCGACGCGAACTGGAGATAATCAGACGCGAGCTCCGCTGCTACAAAGAGGAGGCACGATTGGAGAGCCTAAACTGGCCTACACCTCAAATCTATACCCTAACTTCTTGGGGCCAGAGGTTGTCGACCCTGGCCAGTTTGTGCTCAGCCGCAGACAAGTGTTCACCAAGTATCGTCCTGCTGATGCGTCTGAAAGCCAAAGCGGAGTTCTGCAGCGTGGCATGTCAGTGCCGGTTTGAGGGACTGTTTGAACGATACTGGTCCATCATCCGGTCAGCAAGCCTCAACCACGAACATGCTGAGCAGGGCACCCTAGAGACCCAAACCCCGAAACCACGACAGCTGTCGCTGTCTCTCTCTCTCTCTCTGTGCCCAGACTTGGGCAGAAGTTGCCATCGCTGAGCTGCGAGCCGCCTCGGCGGAGTTCGGCTTTGGGGACTCGGGGTTTTTGAAAGAGGTTGTGATTCTACTTGGCGTGCACGTCTTAGACTCAGAGTCGAAGTTACATATGTGCTGTCGGAGTTGTGCTGTTTGCCCCTTGCGGACTTCTGAAGTGGGGCTTCCAGCAGGATGCTAAAGACGGCACTTTGGTAGATTGCCCCTGCTGGAACGAGCCGAGTCGGGGCGAGTAAATGCGGGGCGAGGCTGCCACTGTATGGGGCCTTGAACAAGCATTCACATTAGTCCTCAGGGTTTCTGACCATAACTACAACAATACTGTAATGCAACTCCTAAAACACTATTCTCATTCTGATGCCCCCCATATTACGTTGTTGTCTGAGGCTACCTTTCCGCTGAGTCCTATGACTGACAAGCAGGCCAGGATCGAGTTTAGGGATTGCTGAGGCCAGAATTTAGGTAGACGACGGGTCCAGCCTCCCCTCCCCCACCCATGAGGAGAACCGAGGTCATGCTTTGAGACGGGCGGCTTAGGGCTTGTGTCGTGCTTTGAACGGAGCCCGCAAGGAGATCTCACCAATCTCCTAGACTCCCCAAACGTCCAAGGTTCAGGGTCTGACCTGAAGCCCCTGCTCAAGAATCCGGCACTTGGTACCAGAAACCCATTAAGCACGTGCCCTGACCTGCGTGAAAACTCGAAGTGTGGGACGGTGCTTGATGATGACTTCCGTTGTGCGCTAGACCCTGAGCTCCACGAGCTTACATCCTAAGTCCCAATCCTACACCCTCCATAGGTTTAAGTCATCTGCACGTCGGTCGGAGCGGGGAATCTCTGCTCTTGTCGTGGTTTAGGGGTATAGACTTGAGGCTTCGAGGTCCTCTTTAGTCCGACAGGTAGACGCGGATCGGCAGATGAAGCACAAGGTCGGAGTTCGTGAGAACGTGGGGATGGGCTCCTAATAAAGAGGTGGGTCTCGCATGCCCAGACTAAGAACTTCCCGAAGAAAAAAAGCAAAGCGGTCACGTCAAGTCCGTGTTTGGTATCTGAACATCTCGGAACACTAGATACCCCTGCAGGTCAAGAAAAGGCCACCAGAGCTAACAGACTGGTTGGCCGACGATGGTGCAGAGGGGGAGTTCCCTGGCTAACATTCGCCCAGTGCTTTCAACCCTGACGCCATACGCCATGAAACACTCTGTTTTATAGACTCAGCGATTTGTTTTTCGTGCTGTAGCTCGATAGGCTTCGGGATGGCAGCTGTAGCGCATGAATAGAAACTTCGGACTGAGGTAAGGGCTCATATTTTGCAAGAAGTGGCAGAAGCTTACTCTTCAGAGAGTCGGACTTCTATGTGTCGAGAGGTAGTGTCGAGAGTACTGCCCCACAAGTTTCGTGCGGGTATGTAGATTGCTGGGCCCACTTATGCCGAAGACCCTTGCAAGGCCCATCACCACGCAGTAGCCACCACAAGCTTGCGGGTCGTAACATCCTTGTCTGTACATCTTCTGGGTCCAAATCTATGCTGAGGTCTTACGAATTAGAGGCATGAAATGGCGAGAAGTTTCCAGTACTGGCGTTGTGGGTGTACGGGTCTCAGCACCTGCGATTTGGAAATCCATGGTCTAAGCCATGGAGCATCTGGATTGAAAGCTTTAGGGGGAAGCCGTTGCTGCCACCTCCTGACAGCAACAGTCAGCGAGCTCCCCCTGACCTCAGGCTAGACACAAAATCGGAGCGTCAGCTGCGATTTAGGTTTCCGTTCACGGTTTAGGAATGCTTGCCAAGGACAGATGAAGGGTGGTGCCGCCGGGGAACCGGGTCTACACAAGTTTTTTCGCGGCCCGGCCGGAAGAAGTGATGGCTGCAGGTGCCGGAACTACTACTGCTGCTACTGCTACTGCTGGTGCTACTACTGCTACTACGGCTACTACTCCTACTAAGATTACTACTGCTGCTGTTCGCTACTAGCTACTGGCGACCAGCCACTCTAACTACTATCATCTACTACTACTTCTACTCCTACTCCCACTGCCACTGCCACTGCCACTGCCACCGCCACTGCCACTGCCACTGCCACTGCCACTCCTACTACTACTACACTACTACTACTACTACTACTACTACTACTACTACTACTACTACTACTACTACTACTACTACTACTACTACTACTACTACTACTCCTACTCCTACTCCTACTCCTACTCCTACTCCTACTCCTCCTCCTCCTCCTCCTACTACTACTACTACTACGACAACTACTACTACCAGTACCACTACCACTACCACTACCACTACCACTACCACTACCACTACCACTACCACTACCCCGACCCCGACCCCGACCCCTACCCCAACCGCTCCCGCTGCCGCTGCCGCTGCCGCTGCCGCTGCCGCTGCCGCTACCGCTACCGCTACCGCTACTGCTACTGCTACCGCTACCGCTACCGCTACCGCTACCGCTACCGCTACCGCTACTGCTGCTACTGCTATTGCTACTGCTTCTACGGCTGCTACTAGCTACTAGCGACTAACTGCTAACTACTGCTGGACGAGTGGTAGCAGCAGCAGAAGCAGAGGTCGAGGTTGAGATTACGGTAATAGTAGTTGTTGTGGTCGTCGTAGTCGTAGTAGTAGTAGTAGTAGTAGTAGTAGCAGTAGTAGTAGTAGTAGCAGCAGCAGCAGGAGGAGTAGTAGTAGTAGTGGTAGTAGTAGTAGTAGTAGTCGTCGTCGTCGTCGTCGTCGTCGTGGTAGCGGTGGTAGTAGTAGTCGTCGTCGTCGTCGTTGTAGCGGTAGCGGAAGGACTACCAGTGCCAATTCCCTTAAGCATGGATCCTTAGGATATGCAACTGCAAATCGGGTACTGGCGTGTCGCATAGAGGCTCTCAGTTTAGACCGCGAAACTTATCGCCCTAAGCCCTTTGCGTTTACTGGGTCTTGAGACGGTCTTGAGCGGCTTTGTGTGTTTGAGGCAGGCTGCTTCAAGGTTCTGGGCTCTACAGCTTGAGGCAGTCAAAGGTCTAGCAGTCCACCTCTGGGCCTCAGGAGCCCTTCAACTCAAGCCTAGAACGCCGGAAACTGAAAGTCACATCCCACCATGTTACTTAAGGATGGACACGCCGCGTACAGGGGAGGACTCTGAGGCTACTTGGCACAAAGAATGGGGTCTTGGTTGCAGAGATAAAAGATCAGTCTGCTGGTCTGGGATACTCGCATCAAGGAAGCTGTTGAAACAGGCCCTATTTTGGCTGTTGTTTTCTGCTACCATGGCTACTCCTGCTGCTGCGCAGCATTGATGTTGCGACCGTCGCTGTTTGTCATCAGTATTGCCGAGATATTCAGCCGAGATATTCAGCTGTCAAATCAAAAGGAGACAAGCTCGTTTAGCCTGTTGGTGTCGGGTTCAGAACTTAGGGTGACGGATCCTGCGAGCTGGATTGCATGGTCACGGACTTCTGGATTTTCGAGATGAGCTCTTCATATCTTGTTGTTTGAAAACTTAGGTTTTTGGGCCGTTCAGGGTTTGAGATTTACCGCGCAGGGTTTATCAAGAATGGGAGCGTAAATGAGCATCGGCGCGGGCCGCGGATGTGACGGATTCGGATCAAAGTTTGGTCTAGGAAGAGGAAGCTTTAGCTTGGGCATTGTGTCCTTGCACAGATTGCATTTAATCCTGTTCTTTCTGAGATTGTTGAGACAGGTACCAGAGTGCTAAGGGACCGTCAATTGGGCAGCATGCCACGAAGCCTCCTGGGGTTCTGCTCACAAGTTGAGGTGCTGTTGTAGGACGTGTCTTGGGTGCTGAAGCTGCCGGTTAAGATGTAAATAGCTCTATGTATCCCCGCCTATGGGATCCGTAACTTGCCTGAATGTTGCTTGTATCATCCTCGTACGGCACCGGGACCTTTGTTTCCGCCCGCGAAGTTTGTCTGGAAACGCACACTGGCAAACCGTGGCAAGCCTGACCAGGCAAGATCTCAAGTTTTGGCCGGCCATCATAGCAATCTATCAGACAGAGACATCCGAAGATCATCCCACGAGCTGTCTCTTGACGCAGGCACCGAGAGCCATGGCCCCAACACCGAAACCACCATTCCTGAATCCCTGATCCTGATCTTTAACTCGCTTCAGCCCGAAGCTCAAGTCCTGAGCCCGAATGCTCAAGCAAGAACCTTGTGATGGTATCGCCGAAGGCTACATGGTCGTCATCTGAGGAAACAACCTCGGAGGCTTAGGATGGCCTGGCACTAGGAGCTTCCATTTCGTGAGCGGATGTACTGCACAAATCGGTCCGAAACCGTGCGCCTTTGGAGCAATCCTCTTCCCCTTAAATGCTGAAATCGGAAATGTACAGAACTTACGACTGCTTGGACTGTTGAACGAGCAGACGGCACAGATTTGGGGAAGATGGAGGAGTCTTTTCTTGTAGCGCGAGGTCTTTCTGGAGCGTGTATGATGAGCAGCTTCGAATTGCAAGCCTGGCAAGCCTACCTCAGGTCGAACTCCAAACCCAGCCATAACTTCCTAAGCACGACCGAGCTTTAGCATCATCACACTGCATGGGTAGGCACAGTTCAATGACGAGTTCGCCCAGTAACAAGCCAGATCCAGCATTTCGAGGTTGAAGGCTTGTGTACATACATAGATGCATGCATGTTTTCAGTGGGGGGAGGGGAGCCGAACCGGGATCTCACACACACACATACACACACACACACACACACAAACACACACATACACACACACAGATACACACACACATATATACATATAATATAATATAATATAATATAATATAAAAAAATATAATATAATATAATATAATATAATATAATCTATATATATATATATATATATATATATATATATTTATATTTATTTATATATTTATTTATATACTTATATTTATATCTTTATCTATCTATCTATATATATATATGTACATACATACATATTTACATATGGTTTATGCATACATACATATAGATATATATATATATATATATGTTTGTCGACTGTATATGCTTAATCATCGAGTAGTGACTCATTCGTTTATCGCAAGGTTCAAGATGTTTCAATGGTGGTCGTAGTTTATCCTATACAGTTCCAGCTGTGCACAGAATTGTAACCTCTAAGCTCTACACATGCACTTTGTGCTGGTCAGCCCGTTTCTGTCGCCGCAACAGCTAGTGATAATGGCTTCCAGCCTATGCGCCTTTTTTGTCGGATGCAATGCTGACATCGACATCGTTGGCGGTTCGGGAATGTCGCACGTCGTGAGCAGAAACGGGTCCGTGGGCCAGAACACAGCGGGAATTGAAGGTGAACCTTCAGCCATCAAAACACCAGCCTCCACAGACCGTCCGACCTCAATTTGACAGGCCATCCTTGACCTTCTCGAAGTCCCCGAATCCAGGTTGACAGGCGGTCCCAAAAGCAGGCCCCTCTTCGCAGTGTGCAAACTTAGGGCTCAGTTTGCTCCGAACTCTACGTCTCCAGCTCAATGAGTCCCTGCAAAGTTTCAGTGCGATACTCAAAACACAAGCTTGTTTCTAGGAATCCGCCAGCCTCGAAGCCCAAGATTGAACTGCGATATACATGCTCAAGACCTCAAAGAATTTGGGAGGCTGCAGGGGCGGTACCCTTGTCACGGCTCGAAGCTTCGACTCGGAAATATATGTTCCCGGACTTGACTACCGATCATAGACTCAGCCGTGTCGCCTAATATGTTGTATGAAGTAAAACTGTGACTAAGGGCGCCTCTCAGCCACCTAGATGCGATCTAGGGAACTCGTTTCACCAACCTTAGTGTGCCGGCTAGGCCACTCTCGGGGGATTCCTGTTTTTTTCGACTGCGCAGAGCAAACCTTTCTGGATAAAATGGCCGTCCGTCCTCAGAAGATGCGCGTTTTGTTTGGTTGTGTGTTATGTTTTATTGTCGTTTTTTTCTATTGCGTGTTTGTACACCAGGCTGGGTTCGGCCTTAGAGGCTTCATTCTTGTGCATCCAACCCTTGATTCTCCGACTCCCTGCGAAAGCCCCATTTCGATTATCAGGTAAGATCTGTAGACCAGTACAGACAGCCGCGGCCTTGATTCCAAGCCCAGTGCTACGTTTTCTTCTGGGCTTCTGTGCCTCGTGGTCAGCCTTTGTAGCGAGTGCATTCAGCCCCGGAACTTTATGAACCCGAAACCTTGAAATAAACCTGAATCTCGAACTCAGTAAGACTTTCAGCCGCAAGTCTGACTGGAGGGATGATGTAGTGTAGACGGACGTAGAGCTCACTGCCGAAGGCTGATTCCTGATTGTGTCAGGTATCCGCTCAAGCACCCAGCCACACCGAACGATTCGGTGGAAACTCAATGTGTAGCTTTGTAATCCTTCACCCCTGGCACCCCTGGGATCTACTTCTCTTTCCTTTGTTTGGCAGGCCGCCACTGCACGACGCCTACCAAAACCACCTGCTGTTGCTGATGCTGTGTAGCGATCTCGAGCGTGCCGGCTACGGCTTCCGGGTAGAGCCTTATAGGCTATAGGCTTCGGGAGAAACATCCTGTACACACGATGCATTCATGCCTGTGGTACTTAACTATCGGGGTGTGCGAAGGCCTTGGGTGCCGAGGAAGTATCATTTACGTATATTGCACCAGGCGTAGTCATATAGCCAGCAACGGGATGCCCGCCCGCAGCGATGCTACAGTGTAACACGCCAGCATTAACACAGCTTTGCCAGTTGGCATGTGGAAATGACAGTTCAGCTGAGAACCTCCTCCAGACGCACCAAGCTCGTGAACGGTTACAGACACGCTAGGTCGTACCGGTGAAGTTTATCTGCATGTTTCAATCGTTTGCTGTCAAAGTTTTAGGATGTTCTCTGATTTCATTTTTCATGCTGGCTCATTTGGAAGAGTCTTTTGGTTGAGGTTGGATACTGCCCCCACTCAGTAACAGTTGGATAATATTCATAATATAGCTACATTAGGACCTTAGTAGTAGGCCCATTATAGTTATAGACTGTTACTGTATGGGGGCAGTACCTAATGTTGAGGGCTTGGGAATGTCACAAAGCTTTTTCGAGGACTTCCCACACGAACGAACGGCTTGGGAGTACCCTTGCAGACCCTTGTCGTTGTGTTGGTGTGGTCCTTTCTGCACGCTCTCGTCGATGATTATGGTTGCGTTACGGTGCTCTGTCCGAAACGAGTCACTACATTAACTACTTCTTCGACTCAAAATTACCTGAGAAAACATTCAATACTTAGGGTCTTGCTGACAAACCAACTATTCAAACAAAAAGCTAGCAAGCAAGAAAACAAGCATGGAAGCAATGAATCAAACCAGCAAGTAGTCAGCGTCTGTTTGTTTACCTGTCTGTCCGTCGGCCCGCCTGCATGGATGCATGGACGTCAGCCCAATATATTGTGAAGGTTAGGGTTGGGCTTTGACTTCGGGCTGCGTGCTGTACAGCGGTTCCTACCGGCAGAATTCAAGAATTCGTCATTGCGGCTGATGGTGCACACTCACCACTCGCCCCCTATATGAGACCTACTAGCATGAGGGTTGCCGAAGCTTCGCATTGGTAAAGCCTGGACCTGCCTGTTTGCGCTCAAAGCGGCGGCAAAGTTACTGCCTCTTTCGCCGGCTGAGCAGATAAGCATCAAATATGATCCACGCCGTTCGGTTTTCCGTTTGAGGAAATCCTGGGGTGCCAACGAGATACCCTACATATCAAACAACGAGCGTGTGGCAAAAGCATGGAACCAGAGCAACCACAAAATATGCACACACGCACATACCCACATGATCCCACATGTGCGGATGTACCGCACATAGGGTAGCTCCTTTGGAGCATCCAAGGCCATCAGCTGCCGGGGGCAGCGGGCCCGGCCTCCAGAAGCCGGGAGGAAGACGGTCCCGGCTCCCCTTTTCTTCAATGATCTCCCTTCTGCTTCGAGCCATCAGGGGTTGAGCGCCCGAGATGCTGCTTCTGTTTTAGCAAGAGGCCGGCTCGTGTTGCACTTCTCGGCGTATCGACTGATGGCGTATCCTTCGAAATTCGTCCGGAGCCCCTAGTTGCAACATCCTCTAGTTACTCAAGTCACGATACTGGGGAGTTGTTAGCTTCGACAGGGCTTGAGGTCTGCAATCTTACTTCTTTCACCGACACCTCAGTCTGCTTCACGCCGAAAAAGTCCACGTATCTCCATGTGGCCTGCTTGGATCCAACAGATGGGCGGTTGCAGAGCCAACCATCACAGACCCCGCAGAACCGCTGGGCCGCTATGCTTGAAGCTGTAAGCCTCATACAACTCCTAAGCTCAACCTCCTTTCTTCGCCCAGCTCTCCCGAGCAGCCTGCACTCCCGAGGTCTCAGCACAAGCAACGTGACAAAGTCCGTAGTTTGGTGGATTACCGCCCGGCTTTGCCGATTTGAGGTGTTGGGAAGTTTGTGGGCCCTGGTATTCAGACCTGGCACGATTAGTCTATGTAGAATGGCTTGCAGCAGTTTAGCTCTCATTAGAGGTCACCTTTGGGTCCTGAACTGAAGTACATCGTGGTCAACACCGAAGCCTAAAAGCAATGCCGTTCAAGAGTGGGGTGTTGAGTACGGGGATTAGGTCTGGAGTTCGAGTATTTTCGAGTATCTTGGATTTGGGGTTCTGGCCCATATCTACTGGCAAAGAATGATCCCAAAACCGGGAGTTTCTCGCGTGCTCATTGCAGCTTTTGCTTGCCCAGGCCGCTTTGCCTCTCTTGAGAAATCCGGGCAGCCTGACCCCTTCAAGTCCAAGACCCAGAAGTCTTAACCCCAAAGGCCCTAAGATCAAGTCCGGAGTTCCAGAGCCAGAACCTCCGCTGGATTCCGAATTTCTCAGACGCCCGGTTTGAGCCTGATGCCAACAATCGAAATAGCTTGCGCGCGAGACTTTAAACCAAACCTTGAGGTCGGGAAGCCCCAAGCAGATATAGAGCCGCGCCACCACCGCCACCAACACCATTCGCACTGCCACCACCGCAACTGTAGCAGTCGCAACCCAAAAGCTATTGAGGCCTTGAAGCCCCCAAGCCGTGCTGATAAGTTGGACTCTACGTTGACATGTTCCCCGCTCAGTTTTACAATCACTACCAACCCTTGATATTCCGGTCGCTTAGGGAATTTCCGCATTTGTTATGGCTGCCTTCGGCGACGTCGGCGCAGTTTGCTCCCTGGCGAGCTGCCGGCGGCAGGTGCCGATTTCTGATTTGGAGTTTGGCTTCCGGATAGCGGTGTCAGGTAATGTGGTATCTGGGGTCATCATAACCAGGGTCCTACGACAACTGCATAAATCCGATCATGCGGGCCTGACATGACGTGTTTGGCATGGCATGGATCTCAATTATTGCCTCAGCCGTCACAAGTTCGATTCCAGTGGCTTCGAAGCTTGAATGCCCGATGCTTAGAGCTATACCCGGCAAATTGAGTCGCCAGGGCATGAAGTGCCTGGAGTCCTGGTTTTGTTTCCTGTTCTTGTGCCAGGGAACGGCGAAGTTACACCACCTCTGCAACTCAACTATGAAGGATTAAGGTTTCAGGCTTGCGTCTTATTGCAGAACCGAACGCATGGATCACATCCGCTCAGTTTTGAGACTGACTATCTGTGTCTTTTGGGATCCTATCCGGGCGTCTTCGCCAAGTCTAAATCATTATCTTGTTCAGCCTCCAGCACGGGTTGGTTCAAGCTGGAACCCAGCTGTTGGGAGCCCCACGGAGTTATGTTGGGATGTCTTGGATGTCCACTGAATTCTGATTACTTAGACCCAAGACGGTTGGCCTGCAGGATTTTCTTCCAACCGTTTGCTTTGCCTGCCAACGGCCCTTCTGCCGGTCGCTCGGGTGAGTTCCTGATGTCTGCAAATGCGATGTAAGTTTGAGGGACTGCACGAAATGAAGCCTGACGCGCATGAACCCTTCACAGGCTAGAGAGCCTACAGCGCATTGCCATGGCAGGGAAACAGCCCTTAGTCTGCATAGGGCTTGAAACTATAGTCTGTACATCCGACAGCATGTCTCGCAATGCAAGCACATGAAGTGTGGCTGAGAACATGACGGGCATTTGTACTGTCGCTCTTGTCAAAACCATTGGCTACAACGCCCGGTGACATCATTCAACACCTGATCACACTGGACAACCGTGGACATCAGCATCGTCGTCACAATCGCGGACATCACCCTCATCGTCAGCAGCAGCGACTGCCACCACTACAAAGATTCTCTGCACTAGATCTGAACAAGCACAGCACTCCCACGCAAACAACTTTTATCACTAGCAGTATGGCAAACTTCGCAAGATATAGGAAAACAGAGGATCGACGACGAGGACGTCCAAGATGACCGCCACGTCCTTGTTGACGGCGACAGCGCAGACAACAAGTGTTAGAAGCAGGATAGAAACCAACTGGCGCCCCGGTTGCACATATCAATCATCCCGTCGTGACGCCTGTTTCCCAAACGCTTTTTTTCGACGAAACCATGTTGTAAATGTCTCTTAGTCCACTTAATGTATATGTGTGTGTATATATATATATATGTGTGTGTATGTCTGTATATGTATATGTATGTATGTACGTTTGTATATATATATATATATATGCATGCATGCCATATGCCTAATGCCGTGCGACGAATGATTCGGTCTTTGCAGCGTTTGATTGTCCCCTAAATTGGGCCATGTTCAACGCTTGTTCCGAAGAAACAGATGCGAGGACCACCCGCTGGAAGCTGTTGCTGGGTTTGCTACTGGCCGGAGTAACATTCCACTTAAGGCGAAAACCATGGCTGTCGCGATGCTTCCATACTTATCATGTGTTGTGTCCGCGACGATTTGTTCTGCCTGCCACAATCAGATTGCACCCCTGCAAGACTCGGCTGCATCATGACAGAATCATTATCAGAATCATCATCATCGTCGTCATAGTAACCGTCATCATCAGCAGCAGCATCATCACCGTCATCATCACATCAAAATGATGACCACGATTGTCTGCACAATCTCCACCATTGCCGATCTCTTCGGTATCTGCGTCGGTTATTGTTGATGTTGGTGTTTAGTGTTGTTTGAAAACGCGGGTATGGAGTCATAGAGGTCGGGGGCATCTTCGTTGAGGCAAAAGCAGCAGCAGGAGCAGCAGCAGCAGCAGCAGCACGACGAGGGCGGAAGAGATTGCGAAGACGACGTGAAACATGAGCAGCAGGCACTATCACCAAAAGCCTTTTTTTTGTAAAGTCTTTCATTGTAGCAAGCTTTTTCACGAAGTTGTGTGGAGGGCAGGAGAATCGCGTCTGCAGCTTCAGGATCGCAGGACTGTCGCAGAACAGGTTTCTGTGCACGGATTTGTATTGTAAGTTTGTTTTGCGGGCGAGAGCTTGTGCCCCACGAGGCTGCAGGCCGTTTCAGAGACCTGCTCCATGACCCTGGCTTTCTTCAGGCAAAGATCACTATCGGCAAGAAGATCATGAATGCGAGGCCTTGGCGGAGGGTAGTGGCAGATCAGTTGCCAGCCAAGTGACCAGAGATTGCACAAACCTGGGAGCACTGCGAAGATGCTTCGCGCTTCTCGGGCTATGGATGTTAGGTTTCCATGGCCTTACGCAGCAGATTCCAGACGAAGTCCTTCAGGGTGGACCGACGGCAATTTCAGGACTGCGCGGCCATCAGACCGGCCTTTGATCTGCACTGCTGCTGCGAAGACTGTTGACTGAAGAAGTTTCAGCTTTTCATGCGAAGGCAAGCCTTTTGCACCTTATGCTGTCATCAGATCATCACAGATGATGGTAGACGTAGCACAAATGTTCCACAAAACGAGGCACTCCTTACACGAAACTGCCTCTTTCGTAGCGCTGAAGTAAAGGATTGCATTCCCAACGTCCCAGACAAAACCCCGCCGAACGTTCAATGCCTGTGTTTAACCATGATCCCGTTAGGGCCCTCGCAAACAAAACACGTTCATCCATAACAGAGGCCGCCAGAGTAAGACTGTTCCAGGCCTTACAGGGGGCCCAGGAGCCTTCGGAGGCAGCCCACCGTGAGAGTTTGTTGTTTATTCGGGGTGCTTGCAGGGTTTAGAGCCGATAGTTTCTGGAACGGTTTCGGGTTTCGGGAGCAGTTTAAGGCTTGCAAATTGTATGGGCTTGGCGTGGAAGCTTCACAGGCTCAGGGTCTTAGACAGAGAAGGCGGTTCGTACAGGTGTTGTTAGTCCTATTGCTTACATAACTGGAGGCTTTTGGAGCTTGGAGTTTTGGACCTATAGAAATATCTTGGAGTGCGACTTCGAGTTTACATACCCCTCTGGGACTGACGCTGTCATGATCCAGGCTTGAGCGCTCAACATGCCAGTTGAGGAGTTTTGTGACGTTCGGAGCAGGTTTACAGCTGAGGAGTTGAATCCCTTCCTTTGGATGATGAGACTCTTGCAATTTGCAGGTGCCTAGCCCTGTGAGACGAAGTCAGCAACGGTGTGCGGCGCGGGGGCACCTGGCCACCTGGATATCTGAGACCCGTGCTATCGGGAAGGGAGTAAGGCGAATAAGGGTTCCGATGAAGGGCTCGATAGCTCGATAACACCCGCGTAGCCCCTTTGTGGAGGTGCTCGTGTTTGTTCCTTGATTCGCAAAATAAATTACGAGTTACCTCTCGTGGGCGGTGCTGCTGGCATCTCCACGAGGTCGAACGAGGAACGGGAATGTGACAAATGTGTCAGCGACGACGTCTTGCTACTGTTCTGACTCTTGTTCCTGCTCCTGCTGCATCTCTTGCTCTCACTGCTGCGCTTGCTTTTGCTCCTGCCATTGCTTCTGTTCTTCCTCTTGCTTTTGCTCTTACTCTTGCCTTTGGTCTTGCTCCTGCTTTTGCTCTCACTCCTGCTCTTTCTTTTGCTCTTGCTCCTGCTCATATCTGGCAGGGTTCTTGCTGCCAGCTCTCGTGATTGGCCGTCCCAAGAACCTATTGGACAAACATTGGCAGCGATACCCAGATCACAGGTCAATTCGGTGCCCAACATGTAAATGGTCTGGTGCAGAGATAATTGGGTCTTCGGCTCAAAACTCTCAGTTCAAGCGGATTGTCAAAAGTTTTGGGGAGGCGGAGCAGCTTTTTTTGCTTGATTACAACGGAACCATGCATCGATGTCTCGGAAAGTGATGCCAAGACCCCGAAGCAGATACGTTTCGTTAACCCGCTAGATTTATGACATACCTGACCGCAACACTTGTCGCCCCTGAAACGAAGCATGTCTTTCTGGTTCGGGATACGGTTCTGAAATACAACCACAAGCTCATGTACGAATTCGGCGTACGATCGTACCGGGGATCGTACGGGAAATCGTATCTGGAATTCCAACTTGTGATGTAGAGGTGCGATTCCGGGCACGATCGTACTTGTACCTGGAACCGCACCGGAAATCGTACCGGCAATCGCACTTCGTGGTGTAAAACTACGATTCCAGGTGCGATTCCGGCTGCGAGAGTACCTTGTTAGCGGCTGGAGTCTGGATGCCCGAAAACACACTCAGCACTGAACTCTGATCGAGATGCTGAACCTCAAGCCACACATGCGAAAGAAGCTGACTCGTATCTGGCTCAGCCTCGATCCCCCAAACGCAAAATCTCGCTGCTTTGGAGATTTTGATTATGGTTTCGCAGATTAGCCTATTAACCAAAACAATACAAAACACACACTCACTCACAAATGTCGCTGATGGCCCCATCATACAAACCCTTCGAAGCGGCCATCAACGAACAGCGATTGCTACTCTTTACCGCCAAAGCTTGTCGCCTGCCTTTGTTTGCATAGGCCCGGCTGCCGAGAACTGCTCACAGTACCCGGCCTCAGAGGGAAGTTCCTCCACAGCTTCGTAGTCTTTGCTTCGAGTCTGGTATTTTAAGGTTTGGAATTTGAAATAGGCGTTTACGCACATGATCTTGGACTGAGCTTGCTGGTTTGAGATTATGCGGCTTTGTTGGTGGCCCTGCTGGCTATAGACTTTCGTAGATGCAGCAGCTGCCGCAGCCAAGTGGTTTTGCGGCGTGTCGCTCACATCCACAGACCGAACAGATTTATCGGTAGTGGGTTGTGCCAACGAGCTAGACTCCTGTCTCTCGAGCCACACCTCCATACCACGACCTTTTCAAGCTCCCTGCGAGGGAGGTAAACCTTCAGCTAGCCAATATCGTACCAGGAAGTATGTCTAGCATTGGAACTTGTTATCACACTCCTTCGTGCCCTGCTGCCGCGGCGCGAAGTTGTCGTCGTGATTTGAGGCTGGGGGGATACAGCGCTTCTTGAAGCAAAGCATGCATGTTTAGCCATAGTTTTGACAAGCATCCTATTTATGTTGTTTTGCAGGAGACCACAGCAAGCCAAGTATCGCTTTTGGCCTTGCTTCCGTTGTCGACGAAACGTGTATGCCCTTGCGAATGAACCTGCATCTGTGTCTTTTGTTCTTGTATGTTGTAGGGTCGCCTCTCCAGGAAAAGTTCTTGATCTTCAACCCGAGCCCAAAACAAACTTCGTACATGAGTGCACGTGTATGTGTGCAAGGCTTTATGTATATATATATATATATATACACACACACACACACTTGTACATATACATATGCATATACATATACATATCTATATCTATATCTATATCTATATCTATCTATCTATCTATACATATATATATATATATATATATATATATATGGGCATGCGAGAGTTAGCTAACATCCCAGTCCCCGTGGCCGCATGTTTGCGGGCCAAACCCAGTTCAAACCCAAACCCAACCTCCCCCGTAACATCGCGTAATCAAGCTGTACTGCACCCCAGCTTAATGGTTTTGTTCCAATTTGCTGGCAGTTAGTGTGTTTGAGTATTGAATCAGTGGCAATAGGTATTATCATTTGCCCTATACCTTTTGTGAAGCTCTTATGTTGAAGGCTCATCATGCTCCAACTCGCCAACCCGGGCGCTCGGGCTGCCTCCGTGCCCTCCGCGGCACCGCCTCGGCTGCGGCCACAGGCTGGGCTTATGGCGTTGAAAGCGGAAGGCTGGCAAGGTTTTGCTGAGCCTCTATCAGCCTCAACACTTTAGAATTGGCTCTTGGAGTAGCAAAACATTACATTGTTCAAAACCATTGAGGCTCCTATGCGTGTTGAGTAGCAGCTTGCTGGGACATACGATAATGCCGTGTCCTCAGTGTCAACCCCGACATCCCAAACTGTTCATTCTATGAGCTTGTATAACCGTGAAATCCGACCCCCACACCTGAAATCCGAGAAAACTATCGCCTCGAAGCTGGGGATGTTGGTGGTTTAGGCTGTTGGAAGATATCCATGCGATTCAGCCCTAGGTAAAAACTTTCATGGCTCGCAGCTTATCCCTGCAGCAACCGCATCCCTCAGCCTCGAACTTGGAGTCATCGTTTTGGCCCGGGACAATTTCCGAGAGCATTTAGAAAAGCAGTCCGTTTAATGAGACCCTAGGCAGTACTGAAACGAAAGTCTGTGATGGGTGCGATCTTCGAACAGTGAACCGTGGGAGCAGACCAACCCCGAAGGGATCAGAGAAGTTGAGTCCAAGGGAACGGGGCACTCCAAGGAGACTCGAGCAGTTGAGAGAGTGGGGCTATCTCTTCGAACGACACCAGAGAAGTTGAGAGGGGGCATCCGGATGTAAAGAAAGAGACTTCGTGACAAACAGGAGCAAGCCGCTGGGAAGGAACTAGAGATCTTGACCAGCATGGCTCAATTTTCCAAGGGCATTTGTCGAGCCTTTGTAATCGCAGCTGCTGAGTGGAGAGACATCAGTCTCTCCGATTGTGGCGCGAATAGCTAAGCTGTGTCTCCTACACGCCAGGCTCCGTCAACTGCACCGTGGGTTGGCGTGCGGGAGTTCGCGGCAGCTGCTGTGCCGGCCTCGATGTATGTTATAGCCACAAAGCCAAAATTCGCTAGTCTCCCAGATCCTGAGCCCTGAGCGTTTCCTGGATTCTGCCTATCCCGCTGAAGACGGTAGCATACCCCCTTTGTCCCTTGAAGCCCGACTGCAAACCAGCTGGAAATCCTCGAGTCGGCCCTTCAACCTTTCTCGCGTAGATGCTGAAGTAACCTTGTTGAGGCCTGCACATAAGCCAGGTAGGATCTTATAGAGGCAACTTGAGCTGTCTCGCAGAGACCATTTCGAGGCAGGTCCTAAAAAATCTTCAAGATCCTGGTGCTTTGATCCGGTTGAGAGGAACCCCAACAGGAACCCCACAATTCCACCTAAAGCCTGATTTGCTCGGTGAGGTGCCTTAAGGCCTTAAAGCTTTGAGTTTGAGCCGACAGCACTCTATCGCGGCGCAAAGGCAGTGGCCACCGTCACTGCTGCGCGTCGGGGGCTTCGCCGCGAGCCTCACGGGCGCGTGTCTGCACAGGCCTGTCCTTTGCTGGGTCGGCCATTGCGCTTCCGTATCGAACCTTTGCGGGTCCCACCCCTGTCTGCCAAGTATCTTGCTGACCCTGCATTAGGTTGAAGAAGTTTTAGGGTCCAGGTTCTGCCACGACAGAATGCCCATCCTCCACATGCAATGTTACTCTAGAATTAAGAGAGGGCCTTCAATCAGGTTTGAGTTCTGCCATGATAAAGGCCAGGCATACGAATCCGGCCTTCAGCATGAAGACAATTACTTTGGAGTTATGCGCAATGGGCTTAGGATCTTGATGACGTGCTTACTCGAAGTCTGCAGCGCATGGTCGTTAGTTGTAGATTGTAGATTCCCTAGAGAAGCTGTATTCCACTGCTTCCTCTTGAAGTATTTTGGCTTGAATCGCCATGGGGATCTGGGAGCTCGCCTCAAGTCAGATGCATCCAAACTAAGCCGGATGTGCAACAACGGAATTTGGCGACCCAGCGCAGCTGGAATCTGAGCACATTCTCTCGCCCCGACACCAAACCCCTGACCCCGAAGCTGTGTTGCGGCCTTCTCAGGCAACCTCTTCCGGAACGCTGCAGGAGTTGGATCGACTTCTTAGGCCCGGCCGAAGGGGTTCCAACCTGTACTGGTAGGATGGTTAAACTCAACCGGAGACTGCTGTGGCTTGAAAGGCTCCGGGTTTTCTCGTTTTAGGGTTCCAGGTGTGTTGCGAAGGCTTTTGATTTTGCAGGGGTTTCGGAGTCTGAGATTAGTCTTTTGTCGTGTTTGGGGTCATGGTTGAAGAATTCACTGCGAAAGGGCGGGCTCCTTCTTGTCACCGATAAGAACGTGTAGCTTCTCGGACTAGGGTTTTCCAGAAATAAAGTACATCGTTCGCAGGAGCTTAAAGAATTTTGATGCGTGGGAGCAGACTGCTGAAGAGAATAAAAAGCATGCCAGAGAAACGTGTAAACTGCCTTAACAGGACTAGAGAAACTGAGAAGCAGGAGCAGTTCGTTCCCGCTTTGCTAGAGAAATCGAGGACCACCTTTCGCTCCCTGGAGAAGTCGAGGAATAACAGTAAACCACGGGTAAGGAACTAAAGATGTTCGCTTGATCCCAGGGCTGGCACAGCAGCTGCATTAGGTGCCGGCCACGAGTAGCTGGAACGCGAGTTTTGTGCACAGGGATCATGACTGCGTTCCGCTGCAAGAACACACGTTCAGTGGAACCTTAACAGTTGCCTAATTTGCTGCGCAGGCGTTTGGTTGAAGCAGAGGTGGCAGAAGAATCCACCAGAAGCCGCGTGAAGGTTCGCCGCTGCAGAACAGTCAGGATCTTCCCACAGTTCTGGCAATAATTTATTCACAGTTGGTGCAGACGCTTTTTGTGGTGTGGATGAGCTGCGACCACTGGGATCCCTGTGACTATAGCATAGCAAAAGATATTGAAGGCAGTCGTATCGTCTCGTGTCATACTGTGCAGTACATTGCAGTGCATTACAGTCGAAGACAGCCCCGTGCAGCACGGTACAAGTACAGCACGTACAGTGCACCTCCCCCCCCCCCCCAAATCCAGTCGGATCGTCTCCGTCCGGGCCCCGTCTTGGCGGCTTTCTCATTGCCACAGGGAGCGGGCATCGTTTGATGCAGCCTGCTGTGTCCTGCTTGAACGAAACCAGAAGATTCGGTTCAGTGCTCCAGGAGGGGTATGATACGGGTACGTGCTGGTATGTAACATGCAGACACTTTCGCTTTCATTCCTCGCTACACTCTGCGGCACTTACATCGTTTTGCTCGGCGATGATGTGATCTGCGCTCGTTCTACTTTTTCATATCACACCCGAACAACCCAGGAGCCGTAAGGCAGCCAACATTTTCCATCATCAGATGCGGTACTGATCGCCGACTGCTTCATCCAGCCCCACATTGCCCAAATCATTCCGAAGCCTGGAGGTTGTCTTTACAGTCGGGGTGACCGCTGTAGGACTAGAATCTGGGAGGCCTTCAGCTTCAGTATGAAATTCTATTCGAGCGGGATCGTGACGCAGGGCTTGGAAATTGAGCTCTCAAGTTTAAATTTTTTCGGAGCTCTTGGTGGAGGACTTTTTGGGAAGGCGTAGGCTCGAGCATGGGAATTGTCCTCAACATCCAAGCTCACACGGTTTGCCGGATTCTGGCAGGCGGAGGATGAAGTCATGGGGCTGCCCCTCGACCAGGTCAACTTGGGTTTCAGGTCTTTGACCACGGCTTCCGGGAGGTACAGGGAGGCTGGGGCAGCGGATGCATTGGGGCTGGGAGTACTTCGGCGAATCCAAAGCAATGCTTCTTCTAACAGGCTTACCTTCTCCTGCGCGAGCCCAGCGTTTGTTCAACTGCTAGGTCTTCTCATCCTTCAGAATTCAGGGTTCAAGTTGGAGGTCTGGAGCAGGATGTTGGG